TTCTCCTACATTTAGGCACAGTTGAGTCATCGTAGAGACTACTAATAGAGTATATAAAACGTTAATAACCCGCGAGAATACCTTTTTACGAACCGAAATGTTTCATGTCCGAACCGATGGCATAAATTGTCTTTAACGCTTGGACTGCGATGGCATCGACCTAACAAAATTCACGAAGTTAAAGTATTCCATCGAATCCTTAAATTGAAAGGTTCAGTAGCATGACACCAGTTACGTTTACAACGTCCTTACGTTTCATGGGTCCTGATAAAATAAGGAAGATCTAACAGACCGTCGTCGAAATGAATTGTTAAATCCGAGCAAATAACTCCGTCAGCCACGCGGGAGTGACGCGACGGCACTCAAATTGTTACGGCGGAGGGTAGAAACTTGACGCTATCATATCGGTTCGCAAGACGGAATAGATTAAAAGTGCGCCGCGCGCAAATTCGCGAAGCAATTTCGAGCAAGAGTTGCCGCGTCATCCCCCCGGATTCTCGAGGTTCCTTCCTCTCCGCGACTAATTCTCTGTTACAACGACGCCGTTCCGTCGCCGATATTTCCCTCTCCGCGGGTCTTAATGATCCCGAAAGGTGAGCGGGCTTGTCGCGTTGAAGGCGTCTCCGCGAAGATGCACGACGCTCTCCCGCCCTCCGTCGCGGTAAACGAGCTCTTCGCGTTTTAGTGGGAAATTATGCGCGCTCTTCCGCGTCCGTTTACGAGCCGCGCGCAGGAACTCGCCGGTGCTGCGCTAGGAAAAGACCACGGAAACCGCCGTCGTCGCCACCGCGCCGGCCGAGGAATAGAGACGAAAAAAAGGGACTGGTATTAGCGAGGTTAGCGAGCAAAATGAACGTTGCCAGATTTTCCATTCTCGTTCCTCCTCGCACGCACCGACGAATTTGCCCGAAATAGCGGACAACAGTCGAACAAATCGTGTTCGTACATTGAAACTGTATACAGCGGTTCTTATTTATACGTAAACGGAGCACGATTTTTCGTTGAAACTAATTTTTAATGTGCAGCCGTCTTAAATATACAGGGTGTCCTAAAAATGTCTCGCAATCCGAAAGTGGCGGGTTCCTCAAGTCATTTGAAGCAACTTCTTCCTTTATAAAAATTTTCTCCGAGGTACCATTAACGAGTTAATAACGAAAAACAGTGACCAATGAGAGGCGATCTCAGCTGGCGCGAGCCGGCCGAGCCGACGGCGCCAGTGGTGGAGCGGTCGAATCCCAGCTCAGCTGGCGCGAGGCTGCTGGTTAGCTGGGCCGCCTCGCGTCAGCCGTACTCGATTCTTACTGGTCATTGTTTTTCGTTAATAACTCGTTAACGGTGTCTCGGAGAAAATTTTTGTAAAGGAAGAAGCTGCTTCAAACGATCCGAGGAACCCGCCATTTCCGAATTGCGAGACATTTTCTAGACACCTTGTATATTAAATATGTATTAAATAAATCAAATTAATATATATTAAATTAATTAAATATATATGAATTTCCGATTACTTTTTCGTTTATAAATTAATAATATATTCCGATTTCATTACTTTAGATAGATAGAAGATACGAATACACATACATTTAGTTGTAAACCGATTAAATCGCAAATTCATACGAACATAAACTCTATTGAATAATATTCTTAACTAAAAATGCCTGCATAGTTGTATCAATAGATTCTCTTAGAAATGAAACTGTTAATTTTGTCTATTTCATACGAATTTTCTGAGCGAAGTGTTCACTTATTTGCAAACCGTTTGTTATATAAAAAAAAAAGTTTCAAACAGAAACTATGTGGTACAAAGAGAGATACACAATATAATAATTAGTTTCTCGTTATTTCACTTTTTTATCAAGCTATAGAGGACATCTTAGATCTTTTTTATAATAATATGTTTCATTCGATATCATAATACGAAAGATTACTAAACGTCGAGTAAAAAGGTATTATGAGGTATAGTATGGAGTCAAGAGCTAATAATTACCGAGTTGTTAGCATTGTCCACGATTTCGAGCGAACGAACAACCACTGTGCGCGGCGGTGGAGAGCCCGTTGGATACGGTCCATGCGGAGAAATTCACGACCCCTCGCGTTCGCCAGGCTTCCACCCCCGCTTACAACCCCGGTAATGGCTTGGCCCCGGGATCCTTTCGCCGATGCGCGACGGCTTTTCCTTAATTTGGTGCGCCGTAAAACACGCGGGCAAGTCGGGCGGTCTCTTCCCCTTGGCGAGCCGAGCGGATATGTTTTATCGCGGCGTGTAAAACGCGCACTCGACGAATTACTTTATTTGTAAATGGCCGTACAAGGAAGGTTTATGGCGGCGAGTTTTTCCGTCTGGGGAACGCAGCGGGCCCGCTCGCATCCGCTCGCGCCGTTTTGCCGGCCGCCCCTTGCGGACGTCTTTTGCCCACCGTGACGTTTAAATGTCTCCCATGCGTTGTTAATTCTCTGTCCCGAGCGAGCGAGCTTCGCGCCGCCCTTGTTAGTTCGCCGTCGTTGTAATTGGGCGTGAATTTTGCAGCGACGGTTACGATTTAAATCTTGATTATCCACGTCGAACGGTTGTTCGTTTCGTTCCTCGAGTACCATTCGTTTCGTGCCATTCGCGTCTCGTCGCGACTGCGGAATTTATCGCCCGGCTATCCGGCCCGGCAATTACCTTGCATTCAATAATATTTCACATAATTGCGACGCGATCCGACCGAATAAATGTTAACGCATTAATGACTGCCAGGCCCGGCGCTGCGTCTACAATAAATTCGTTGATTGCGGAAAATTTGCAAGATCGTTGATGGAATATTCACGGTCGAGCTGGCAATTGTATTAATAATCATTTTTCTATACGCTTGACGGAACGAACGTTGGTTAATTAATTACTCTTTGACAAAATCCATGTATACATTTTATCAAAACTACTTACACTTAATTCTTGAAATTTAAATTTTAGCATGGTTTTAGTACATTTTTAGTAGAAATTCAATTCGAAATTTTTAATTGCAATAGATTTGTTCAGCTTCGAGTCTATAGATTGCGTAATCAAAATTGTTTGACGATAAAATAAACACAGATATTCGCAGTCTCCCGCGTTTATTAATACAATTCTTTAAAAGGCAAATCGAGCGTGTTGAACGATAGTCAATTTGTATTCTTTATCTAAAGCCTTTTTAGTCGATGTTCCTTTTCTTTTCCAAAATTTTAGCTGCAGAATTAATAATTCAAAATTCGCATATTTAGAAATTTTGTGCAATCCAAAGAAAAGATTATTACGGAACGCAACAAACTGCTTAACCGTAATTAAAACTTGCACGAGTTGCATACGTTGCAAGAACGTGATCGAAATGAAAATCATTGCACCGTCGTGAAGTTTTATAGGAATTAATAAATAAAAGATTCTGTGTCTTTATTTATATATTTTACACGATAATTAAAAAGAAATGCCACTAACGAATGAAAAATGCCTTCCTCGTTTATCCGAACGTTTGAAGATAATAATTCTTTGATGCCAGTCTTAATCGCCGACACCGATGATCCAAACCGGATGCTAATCTTAGTCGCGGACACAACGGCTAAGCAAATAATAAAGATAATTCAACGGATTCCACGAGTGGTTCTTTTACCGTAGCGCCATTCAAAACGGAGCAGTCTCCGATAGAGAAGCCGTCTTTCCCGGCGAGTTGAATCCTTACAATGTTTTCCATGATTATTGTGGAACTGACTCGGAGTCACCGGCATGGTGGCAGAATCTTTTTCGCGCTGGGAACGAGATAAAAGAAAAGGGAAGCGGCGAGATTGGAAGGGGTTGGGGGTCGAAAGAAGAGACAGACTTCTCGAGGATTTCTGAGAGGGGACGGTGAATGAAAGGAAAAGAGGACGGGCGGTGCGGGGACCTTGGGGGAAGATCCTTGGACGAGGAGCTTTGTCCTCGAGAATCCGGGTTCATAGTTTTCCCTCGCTCGATTTCCCTCAACCCCGCCCGTCTCCACCCTTTTGTAGGTACACTTTGTCTCGTAGGAAATATCCTAACGATATCTTCCTCCTCCTATTGTTACCCAACCTACGTAAAAGCTACACGAGTCACTTTTGCTCCTCGAACACGTAACCGCATTGGATCGTTCTTCTTGTTCGGCTATCTGTCAGGGCGGGAGGGCGTCGAAATTTCACGACCGACGAAGAACCTGCGGAGTAATGACACGGTAATAACGTTAATTACTAGACTGCGGATTTTTATGCAAAATGAAAATTGTCTATCTCGATTGCGACAAACTGAGGTTAAATAGAAGTTTCGTTTCTTTCTTAATATGTTCGCTAGGTTGACAATAATGCAAAACTGAGTTTTTTAGTCTTTCCCACTGTTTCTGTTTCATTTTGTCATAAATACATGAAATCCGCAGTCTATTAATCAGACATTTGCCTTTAGAAACACATCATTATACGTGATTAATTTGGTATTCTTTTTACTCGTATTTTGTGAGTTGGAATTAACTGGGATGTTCACGGGTGACGTTCGTGTAAAGGAATTTCGTTGCTTTTGAAAATTGTAAAAGCGAGGGTGATCGATAAATTGGTTTATTCCGATAAAATCATTCAGTTTGAACTTAAAAAAAACGTCGAACATATAATTTTTTACGAATAATGCAGCCTTGAGATAAAATAAAAAAGTAATCTGCACCCTTGAAAACCGGTGAAAGAAGATCGGTATTTACATTAAAATCGTCTGCAGGTTGCCGAAAATTAATGAACGCTGAAACTGCCAATCCCTAAACACAACTAATATATTATACGTATGCTTGAATAAATAAGATCGTCGAAATGTTTCTTAAAGAAAAACCCGTATAATTCCCCAATAACTGTAGAATAAGAAATTAAGAACCGAGAGAGAGAGAGAGAGAGAGAGAGAGAGAGAGAGAGAGAGAGAGAGAGAGAGAGATCAACTTCGATTAACACCACCGTCGAGACGAAGTAGCAGAAAATTAACAGTCGAATTTCGTTTGTTTCAGGTCTGAATCCCGCCGAGGAGAGGCATGTGAGTATCAAATATTCGAACCACTATACAACAATAAATCGCGGTTTCGCGAATTGGTAACAGCACAGCGTATTAAACGACGAATTGGGATAGGGCTATCCGTGTGACCGGTGTAAGCAACTGTGCTGTTGCGCGCCGAAGCCGGGAGATCCGCTTCGATACGTCGCGAAAGCGACGAACTTCGAGCCGCGAAACGATAATCGCATCGAGAAGTCGTTGAACTTCCTTCCAGCCGCGGAATTTCGCATCCGGAGACGGAGGCGGCGCGTAAATACCCGCGCGGGTAGACGCCTAATCCCGAATATTATCTTGCTGCCTCAATTACCGCCTCGCGTATCCGACTTAATCCGCTCGTCTATCTTCGCGCTGGATCCCCTTTTACACGTTTACGAATCGACGGCAGCGCAGCCGCGACGTCGACTATCCGAATCGAACGATCTCTGTTACCACGATTGTCCGCGCTACGTTGAATTATACGAAACATCGACGAATCTTATGTTTTCGTTGCAAACGTCGTCGTTGTTGATACTTGTTCACCAGAGTCCGGCACTTTGAATCATTTCTACGGAATAATTAACATTAATCGATTAATAGAACACGACATCCAAATGTAATCATGTTGACCCGTGGCTCTTGACGGGAATTTTTAATAAAGTTGTTCAAACAGTAATGATTCTTTAGTCTTATTTTTTTCGTTCTAAGTTTTACTTTAATAGAATTAATCAGCAATTATAGAATTAATTAGCATGTCGCAGGAATCATCCTTTTATGAGATATAGCGGGGGTTGTTGATCGATCGGTAGGCACAGTCTGCGAGTTATAAACAATTGCGTTTACATTGTTTCTCGAGATTGTGCATCGTAGATAAGAATTGTGCAAACATTCTCTTGATACTTTAAACTAAATCGAACAGTTTCCATGAAATTGTTTTGTCATTGCTAAAAAAATGTCTGCAGAAGTGTTTCTAAAAGTTGTCGATATACGAAAATATAAAAATAATATTTTCACGCCACAGATAAATTAAAAAGACAAATAGTGCGACGATACTTTTATGTGCGATTACAAATTTAGACTTAACCTTGCATTACCGTCGTATTTTTATTTTTAAATGGAACAAATCACTGTACACGATTCATGAATCGGAAAAATCGGTATAAATTTGTGGTCATTGACCGTGTAAATTAAAAACGCTCGTAAACGGGCAACGATTTCCCGTTTCCGAGATCGCGCGCCGTTCGAGGAAAAGTCTCGCGCCCCGAGTGTAAATTAGGGTGATCGACCGATCGAATCGCGGCGACCTATGGTGACTCCGGTGCAGCAGTCGGGGAACGATTTGGACCGCGACGAATTTCATCTCATAAAAGAAATTAGACCCCGTTCGGCTCGCGCGATCTCTCAATAGGGCGAGCGGTGGCAGTGGAGGGGGGTGGCAAATAAAATCGAGAGATCGTTGCGGTCAAGTTCAGGCAGCGAGCGGAGAAACCGAAGAGAGAAAGAGCGGATAGAGAAAGGAGGGAGGGGGCAGGAAAGAAAAAAAACAGGCGAGCCTAGAATGCGCACAGTGGCCTGCGAAACCGTTTATCCAAACGATCATAATACAGGTTGTCTCAGAATTATGGTAATTCCGAGAAACGAGGGGTTCCTGAGGTCATTTGAAGCAACTTTTTCCTTTACAAAAATTTTCTCCGAGGCACCATTAACGAGTTATTAACGAAATGGATCGAGCCAATGAGCGGAACTGGGATTCGGCCGATCGACCGCTGGCGCCGTTGGCTCGGCCGCCTCGCGCCAGCTGAGCTGGGATTCGACCGCTCGACCGCTGGCGCTGTTGGCTCGGCCGCTCCGCGCCAGCCGAGCTCGCTTTTCATTGGTCAGTGTTTTTCGTTAATAACTCGTTAACGATGCCTCGGAGAAAATTTTTGTAAAGGAAAAAGTCGCTTCAAATGACCTCAGGAATCCCTAATTTCCCGGAAGTAACATAATTTTGGGGCATCCTGTATAATAGATCATTGAATTTGTCAAAATTACATGTATATTGATATTAAAAAAAATCGGAATAACTTCAATTATTTGCAACAAAGATTTCGTTTCCGAAATTTTGTACTTGAAAATTTGTGATGCGCCTAAATAATGAAAACCCGTCTGTTAATACATATAAAGTATTCTTATTCAAATATTTTGGATTTCCTGTATTCAAAGGGTTACCGATAAATGTATACGAAAGCTTTTCGAAATGTGATGCCTGGAAAATTAAATTTTGTACACGATAAACGGGCTTGAAGGCCGCTGTGCGGCGGATTGCAGCGAGGTGCAGAGGGGTGGGGAGTGGCAGAAGGTGAACGGATGAAAAGGGAAAGANACTCGTTAACGATGCCTCGGAGAAAATTTTTGTAAAGGAAAAAGTCGCTTCAAATGACCTCAGGAATCCCTAATTTCCCGGAAGTAACATAATTTTGGGGCATCCTGTATAATAGATCATTGAATTTGTCAAAATTACATGTATATTGATATTAAAAAAAATCGGAATAACTTCAATTATTTGCAACAAAGATTTCGTTTCCGAAATTTTGTACTTGAAAATTTGTGATGCGCCTAAATAATGAAAACCCGTCTGTTAATACATATAAAGTATTCTTATTCAAATATTTTGGATTTCCTGTATTCAAAGGGTTACCGATAAATGTATACGAAAGCTTTTCGAAATGTGATGCCTGGAAAATTAAATTTTGTACACGATAAACGGGCTTGAAGGCCGCTGTGCGGCGGATTGCAGCGAGGTGCAGAGGGGTGGGGAGTGGCAGAAGGTGAACGGATGAAAAGGGAAAGAGGGCAAGAAGACGACAGAGAAGTCTGCGGATCAGTCGGTGGAACAGGAGGAAACCTGAAATGGACGTAAAAGCCCGAACACCGGAACACAGGACCGTAAAAAGCTCGTCGTCAAATGCACCCCCGTTCTTTTCCGCAGTTGCTCGCCCCGCGGCCCCTCAGACCCTCGGCCCACGGGTCCCCGGCCCTCGCAGACTCTCTTTATCTCTTTTGCTCGCGCCCTTTAGCCCCCACTCCACCTTTGATAGCATAAAGCGGCTGCTGGGCGCGGCGCGCGTTTATTAAAAGCGCTTCGGGGCTGGCAAAAAAAGGCTCGAGAGACCGCTCAAGGCCAGTGTTCCCGGCGTCGCTTCCGATCTCGAGTGGCCCGCAGAATCGTTTCGCGATCGATCGCCGCGAAGAAGTTCCCTCCCCCGCGCACCGGCTAAATCGATTTAGGGAACTATCGCGCGCTGTCTGGATCCTGGATTCATAGAGGGGTTCGGGGGCGGCGCGGGGGCGAACGCCAGACCCGGCGTCCGGGTCAATTCGCGCCGCGTCGACGGTCTTTTGACAGGGGAAATAAAAGGAAATCCGGGATCGCATCGACAGAATTTTCCCTCGTAACCGGGCGCAGAGGGGATTCAGATTTTTTTTCGGCGTTCAATTAACGGGCTCGCTGCGAGGGCCGGGGGTAATTGGCTGCTCGTCTGAGTAGTCGCTAATTTCAAGATGCCTCCTGCTAGTTCGTCGCCCGGTTTCAAAGGGCCAAGGGAATTAACGGCAGTTGCGGCTCGTTCCGATTGAATCGACGATCATTATCAGGGAAAAACCTGGCACGTGTTTGATTTTGATAACGCGGGGATGAAATTTGGAACCCCTGGGGCGCGAGCGACGTTTCCGGGATATCGAGAAAATCGGGTTTGTACGTGTTAACAAAATTACGTACTCGAGTTTCAGATATTCTTCGTCGACGAAACGAATGTTTCGTTGCTTCGATGTCTCCCGATAAATATTTGCTTCGAGTTTATTTCTATCGAGTTAATTTTACAATGGTTACGAGAGAAGTCGAAAAGTCAACTTGTTTAGCAATCGGTTCGCAGTGCATCGGATTACCACCTTAAATTAATTTAGCATTACGAGCAGCATATTTAGTATTATAATTCAGCATCGTTGCGTATAATCAAGAATTTAAGCGACCGCATCCGTCATTGGCATAAACATTAAAGAACGCCTCCTGTTTACCTGTAAACGTCTCAGCTGACTAATAAGATGCTTTAGCAAAATTGTAGCTCGTAAAGCATTTAAAATATTCAAGCCGACGCGGGGCAGTGTCGCCCATAAGAAAGAGATTTGCTCGCTAATAGCTTAAAGAACGCGTCCGGATATTTCGTATATTAATACACGCGATCCGCCGTGAATTATTCAGCCATACATTAGCCATTAGGTAAACCGTCCCTAGTAATGGGGCACCGGTGGAGGGGACAACTGTGTTCGGAAAGGAGACACGACAGCGTAAGATTTAAACGTATCTGAAACTGCGTATATCATCCTGCGGGGCCTAAAGTGTTTAACAAGGAAAGGATATTTCATCCGCGGCGCGTACCGTATCGAACAACCGGAGCACTCTATAACAATTTATAAGATTAACTGCACGGTGGAAAAATCGGCGTACACGGGTCGCGCCGCTGCTTAATAGCGGCACGATATGTACCGGCACGGGTTTCAGCGACGATCGATCGCTCGGTGCGCGGAGATCGCGCGAACAAGACACCCGAGGTGAATAATAATGTCCGCGATATTAATCGGTCGGCGCGTTATACGACTGTAGGACGAATAAAACTCGGCCGGAGCGACGTGGAGCGGCGCGGCGCGGAACGGGCGCGGAACGGCGCAGACCGGTCGATAACGATCATTAATTAATACGTTGAGCGTTTTATAAAACTCGCTCGGAATTGACTCGGTCCGGTGCGCGACGATCGCCGACGAGGGGTCCAAAGGGGGTCACAGAGGGGCGGCATGCAGAGAGGCGGCGGACGCGCTATATTCGGGCAGAGAGTGATTTCCAGCGTAATTATCTTTTCGCCGTAGCTCTTTTCCGCGCCGTCATTATGGGCCGTGTTTTAACAGCGTTACACACCCAGCATAACTTGCGCAATTTGCCGGCGGTGCCCGTGGCCCGCGGCCGGACCGAT